ACATACCTTGATGAATGCTTCAAGAGGGATGAAGATTTGAGTATAATAGATTGTTCTTGGATGGAATATGAGTATTCTTGGAGGAAATTTCGAGATTGAGAGTGAGAGAAAGAATAGAGAAGATTTAAGTGGTGAAGAGAATAATGTGTTGGGAGAAAAAGGAAAGGAAAGTGGATGGGAGGTGTGAGTGGGAGACCATGGAATAATCTTTTTGCTTTTGGTGGTCTTCATAATTTCCCACTAACACAAGCATCTTTTACATAATTAATATATGAGTTTTATAAAATTTAAAGTAAAGTTTATAAAAAATAGAGTTTTATAAAATTTAATGTAAAGTTTATAAAAATGGAGTTTTATAAAAGATAGGTTATTATTTGATTATAACAATCTACTTTGATTTGAAGTTTAATTAGAGAATTCAAGTTTGATTCTTTTAATTTAATTAGAGCATTATACTTTGATTTTATTTTTAATATGGTATCATAATTTACTTTGGTTATAGTTATAACGTTGTACAATACTATGTTGCTATTAACGTCAAGTTATATCGTATTGCATGGGTTTTGATCCTATTAGCGTCAAGTAATCTTGAGTAGGGTTTATTAAATTTCCAATTGGGTTGGGTTGACCCGAATCCATTTTAGGCGGATGTCACAGTCTTGGGCCTTGTTGGGCCATCATAATTCTATTTTGGGCGGATGCTATTTTATTGGACTCCTTTGGTTGAAGGCCCATGAAGGGATTTGGGTCCAATTTGGAAAATTGGGCCATATTTGAGCTTTGGGGGATTATTTTGGAATTTGGGCTTTTTGGACAATTGGATTGGGCATTGGCCTTGGGCCAAGTTAGGGAAAGGGTAAAAAGGTCTTTTATCCTAATTTGGACTCTTAGCGTGAGTCGGGATCCAATTATTAATTAGATGTTATTTTGTGATTAATAGCCCGAGGATTTTAGCGGGCCAGCAGCCAGAGATTTATCTGTGAGATTCAACAATTTGAGGTAAGTTTTCTCATTGTGTTTAGTGGGTCGAAGGAACTAATGTCAGCCCATGATTATTATGATAGGATGCTAGATATATGCGTGACTCTTGCATGTGTTATGTGTTGGTACACCGAGCGAGGCTCGATGTCGGGCAAGGCCCGATGACTATATTGTATGCTCTTGCTTTTGTGATTATCGCATGTGTTAGCATGATTATATGTTTATATGTTTATTATGTGTATCGGGTGGGGCCTAATGAATGACAGATCTATAATATGAGCGGGGCTCAATGTCGGGCGGGGCCCGAGGCCGAGTGGGACTCGATGCCGGACGATGCCCGATGTGGGACGGTGGCCCAGTATGTGTTCATTTATGTATGGAATGTGGTATTCTCGGGAACTTACTAAGTTGTGTGCTTACGGTTTTCAGTTTATGTTTCAGGTACTTTAGGATCAAAAGGGAAGTGCCCGGGATGATTGCAGAGCACACACCAACTTTTTCCGCATTTTGAGATTTACTCTGATGTGATATGATGTAGTGACATACTTTGGTCTATTTGCGTTGTATGACAATGTTTTGAAGTATCGTTTTATTTAAATTAAAAATGAAACTTTTAAGTCTTATTTTTGGAACGTTACACATTTATATTAAGGGGTTGAGTTTCAAAAAGGCTTATTGATTTATTAGCTTTTCAAAATATCAATAAGTCTAAAAAAGTCTTTAGAAAATCTAATAGGCATTTTTGGATATATCTGTGTACCACTCTCAAAAAAACATTTTTCGGACGTCACATTTTTTTGACTTTTTATTAAAACTACTTATGACTTATAAAGATGAAAATGCAATAATACCACAATTAAAACCTAACATTTTTAGCTTATAACTTAATATTTTACATAAAATATGATATGTAAAACTATTAAATAGTTCTAAATATGTAAGAATTTTTTTTTTTGTTATTTTACATGTATAATATAATCTAAACCCTTTTAAAAAATAGTTTGTCAATTTATAATTTTTTGTTACCATATAAGTTAATCGTAACACTTTAAAAAAAATCATCAAATGATAAGTTAATAATCACTTTTATCAAAAAAAAATGTTTATTAAGTTAAATAAGCAATTTCAAACACCCTAAGAAAATAATGAAAAATAAAAAATAAAAAAATAGAGGGTATAATCGTCAAAAGAAATGACGTTATAATATTGTCATAATTACTATTAATAAAATACGTTGTTTAAAAATAATAAAAATATATTATCATTTTTAGGTAAATAAAAGAATCATATAAATCATATAAACTTAAAAATGATTCGAGCACTAACACATACAAAAATAAAAAATTTCGAAGGTATGGTCGGTGACATTAAGCATGGAGTCATGGAGTTTGTTGCACAAAGAAATTGAATCCATTAAAGATCTGGTAATAAATGCCGTTTAATCTGACACAGCTGGAGACGGATTCAAGCCGTGAAGCTCGGTAACATGGCCAAGATGCTCATCTCAGCCCCAAAATGACGACATTATTTTTGTCAAGGCCGATGACGTTATATTTTTCAAAGCATATGGTTATGTATATTTTCTGTCTTTTGTACTATAGTTAGTTAATTTCTTACAGTTTCATGCAAAAGTGGACTTCTTAATTACAATTTTTTTTATTGGAAAATGACTTTGTAGTTATCTTTTTGCACAATCATATTTCTAACTCTTGCAGGCTTTACCTTTTTTTTTTTCTTTTCAAACAGCAGCAAGACGTTAGAACATTACAAAATACAAGATATAAAAATGGGAGAACAACACCAATTTGTCCGGTCTAAGGACTTCAAACAAGACCTATGTTTTAACCATTTGAAAGAAATTAATTGTATATCATCTGTCGTCTTCATCGGGTAACTACGAACATTTTTGAACAATATGTCATTTCTTGTCTTCCAAATTGCCCAAAAGAAGCAATAACTCAAAGTACACCTTAACTTAAGCCCTTTTTTGCTCAACCTCAAATTCGCCAACATAGTCAGGAGATCAGATCTATTTCTAGGAGAGAAAGGAAACAACCCATACCATTTTTGCACACAATTCCAGACAGCAACCGTGAAGGAACAATCAAAGAACATGTGATCAACACACTCATTTGAACTAGCACAAAGGGGGCACAGGGGTCGAGTTCAAGTTCACACCTCTTTTAGTAAGTTTGCAAGCAACATGTAACTTATCCAAAAAGAGTCTCCATGAAAAACAATTGACTTTGATCGGAACACAACTAACCCATAAAAAGTTAATATAACCAACCTCCATATCAGCCTTCGACATAATCATTCTCAAAGATTTTTGGACTCATCTCCTTTCCAAATCTAAGAATCAGGCTCATTAGATAACGATATATTTTTTATTTTGTTGCACAACTCCATCAGAGAGAATCAGATTCTCTGCCCCTCCTTGGGTATCTCAAACAATCCCAGTTTAAGCTACTTGAATCACATTGTGGAATTCTCTCATTGATCAAACAATTTTTTTGAGCTTCTATGCGATATAAATTCGGAAAAGCATCTTTGAGAGCAATACCGTCACACCAAATATCTTTCCAAAAGTGTGTCTTATCACCCGACCCTACTTTTCTCTCAATCAAGCCTTCAAGATTTATGTTCCAATTATCAAAATCCTTGTCAAATTTTGAAATTATAAGCCACGTACAGGGGAGAGAAGCTTTAGCAATTCGTTTGCCATCAATACAAGAAATTTTATGCCAAGATTTAATACACTTTGACCAAAGACTATTCGTCTCGGTTTTTAGTCTCCATTTCCATTTGGCTAAGAGGGCCAAGTTTAACGACCTAATACATCCAATGCCCAAACCACCATACTTTTTTGGTTTTACCAAAGTCTTCCAAGCAACCCAAATGATCTTTCTTTTATTCTCTTGACCGCCCCAAAGAAATCTCCTCCTTATACATTCCAATATACCAACAACTTTCATGGGAGCTTTAAAGAGAAAGAAGTAATATAATGGAAGGCTTCCTAAAACGGATTTGACAAGCGTAAAACGTCCCCCGAAAGAGAGATTATTGGCTTTCCACTTAGAAAGTTTGGAATTAAATTTATCAATTATGGGTTTCTAATTTTTTGATAAATTCATGTTAGCTCCAATCGATAGACCAAGGTAAGAAAATGGGAAATTAGCGGGCTAACAACAAAGAATACTAGCAAGACGATTAATCTCGATATTCTCCACTCCCACACCATAAACTTTACTTTTATGGAGATTCACTTTCAAACCACAGGATAAGTAGAAGCATCCCAAGATTCTATAAAGGTTGACAAAGTTCATTTTGGACCACTCACCAATAAATGTAACATCATCCGCGTACATAAGGTGGGAAAGACAAGCATCTTCATTTGGAAGAAAGATACCTTGATATAAGTTTTGATAACAAGCTTCTTTCATTTCCATATTGAGCCCTTCCATGGCAAGTATAAAAAGAAACGAGGATAGAGGACCACCTTGCCTTACACCCCTCTTGATATCAAACTCCTTCACGGCGGATCCATTTACTAAAATAGAAGCTCTACCGGACGAGATACATCATTTTATTCACCCACACCATTTATTACTAAAATCCATTTACTCCATAACTGAATCCAAAAAAACCCAATTAAGAGAATCAAAAGCTCTGTCGAAATCGACTTTGAAAATCAACACTTTTTTCTTTGTCTTTTTAGCCCACGTGTATAACTCGTTGATTACTAAAGGTCCATCAAGTATTCTTCTTCCTTCAATATAAGCTGATTGCTCCGGGCTCACAATTTTTCCAATAACCTTTTTGAGACGTAGGGAAAGAATCTTGGAAAAATTTTTATACATACAACCAATTAAATGAACTGGCCTATAATCCTTCACGGATAATGGATCCTTCACTTTGGGGATGAGATATATGAACGAAGCATTACACCCCTACTAATTTTACTTGTTAATTCTTCGAAAAATCAAAAATATCATCTTTGATGATATCCCAAAATTCCTTTATAAATTTGAAGGTGAAACCGTCCGGTCCCGGCGCTTTATCATTTCCACAACTCCACACCGCCTCTTTGACTCCCTCGCTTTCTGGTTCAAATCCAACCTTCTAATTGAGTCAATTTCAATAATTCTGCTTTTCCATTTTTTCCAGGAAGCCCTTTCAGGTGAAGACAATCCTCTTTGCTCAGCTTGAAGTTCCAGAAGATCAATTTTTTTCACCAGTTCACCATATTCCTCATTTTCTTTATTACGCAAGGAATATCTCCAGCACCTGATATCATTTTTTAGCGGTTGGAATTTTCTCAACAAGAGTTTATCATTATCACCACCTTTAATTGGTTTAGCCCAAGAATCCAAAACAATCTTATGAAGACCATCAAGTTGCGGCCAGGAGTTGAAAATTTTAAAAGGAATCGGCCCAAAGTCATAGAAATCACTTACTAAAATAAGAGGACTGTGATCCGAGTGGAGTCTCGGTAATGCTGTCACCGAAGCCATATTCCAATGTGCAAGGAAACCATGACACACAAGGAAGCGATCGATCTTACTAAGACTTTTACCATCTTGGCTCATCCACGTAAACTTTCTGCCCCACATAGCAAAGTCTTCTAAATCAGCCTCATGAATGAAAGAATTGAAAGCTTCCATACTGGAAGCACAAACAATTTTAGATAATCTGTCACATTTCTCTCTGACTTCATTGAAATCGCCCATTAGCAACCATATAGCATTTTTATTCTCCATAACCTGTAACAGAGTGGACCACAACCTTTTTGTAACATCCCAAAAATCATGACCAAAAATTTCATTTTTGATTAATAAATAAAACCATAGTTATCAAAATCATCCCATCAAAACATAAGTAATAGTATCTCATATCAAAAGATCTGGCAGATATCAGAGTAAACATCCCATGCTATAAACATAATGGTGTGTGCACTGCAGTCATCCCGAGCTCTTCCCCTTGCTACCGGAAGTACCTGAAACCAAAACTAAAAACTGTAAGCACGAAGTTTAGTGAGTTCCCCAAACTACCACATACCATACACATAATCATGCTACTAAGAGATACGGGCCCCGCCCACACTCAAGGAGATAGGGCCCCGCCCACACTCGGCTAACTAGGAGATACGGTCCCCGCCCACACTCTGCTGACTATGAGATACGGGCCCCACCCACACTCAGCTAACTACGAGATACGGGCCCCGCCCACACTCGGCTAACTACGAGATACGGGCCTCGCCCACACTCGGCTAACTACGAGATACGGGCCCTGCCCACAATCGGCTAACTATGAGATACGGGCCCCACCCACACTCAACTACTAAACATACATATAAGTATCACACAGGCAACACGTATAGCCAAATCTATCAATCAGTCCTATATACATGCTCAAATAATGCTATGAGATACAGGCCTCACCCACACTCGACTACTAATCAGAATACATATACGGGCCGACCTTGGTGTCGTAGACTTGTTCCTACTAAAGGAAACTCACCTCAATGTCGTGTGAATACCTAAAGTGTCCCTGCTCCACAACCGGCTCTACTCACACCCTATACCAAACAACCTCTTAGATAACATCCCATACTCAAAACCCCTTCACGGGTCAACCTTGGTCAAAGTCAAAGTCAAGGTCAAGGTTAACGTCTAGTCAAGTCAAAGTCAACCATGAGTTGACTCAACTCGTCGAGTCATCCCCCTGACTCGCCTAGTTTCCATGCTACACTCCGTCGTGATAAAACGATCAAATCGTCGAGTCCTCCCTCAGACTTGCTGAGTTTCGTCCTTTACATAATCGGGACAAATCGAACCAACTCGTTGAGTTCCTATATGAACTCGCCGAGTTCTTCAGTCTGTTGCTTCATCTTAATGGATTAAGCCCCTATTCTTCAGATCTAAGCTCCATATTCCACATATACACTGAAATTGTCCTTTTAAGAGTAAAGTTTCCAACTTTACCCGTTAATACCCTTACTTAATGGATTTAGCTCAAACTCTAACTCTTTAGGACCTAGATCTTGGTCCACAAGCCATCAATACTCCAAACTAAGGCATGTACACTGAGACCTGGACCCTAGACACTTCAGAAATACGTAAAGCTCCTCACTTTCCTTCCACGCATGGCATTTTGAACCTTAAAAGGCCAAAATGACATCCTAAAGCTTGCATGAGGCTTCAATGGCCATAAAGTTTGCACCTTTATGCCATGAAATCCCTCCATGATTCTAGATCTGAAGGTATACTCACTTGGGACGTTCATTTCCCAAGGATCATGCTTCTTGGACCAAAAACTCAATAAAGTGATAATAAGGAGATCTAAGAATTCACTAAGCAAGTTTGAGACTTGCTTACCAGAAAATGATGAGAATGAAGTGGTGGCTAGGGGTGCAAACGAGCCAAGCTACTCGCGAGCTACTCGAGATCGGATCGTTAAAAGCTCGACTCGAAACCGATTTTAAACGAGCCCGAGCCGAGCTCGAGCTTAATATTAAGCTTGTTTATTAAACGATCTCGAGCTCAAGCCTATGTCATTAAGCTCGATTAGGCTCGCGAGCCTAAACGAGCCTTTATATAATATAATTTATTATTATTTATATATATTAAAGTAAAAACATATTAGGGGAATTATGAATTTAGGGTATTAGTAAACGAGCTTTTTAACGAGCTCGAGCCGAGCTTAAGCTTATTTAGGCACGTCAGATAAAAACGAGTCGAGCCCGAGCCCGAGCTGAGCTTGTATAACTCTTTACGAGCTCGAGCTGAGCTTAGTAAAAGAAAGCTCGAATCGAGCCGAGCTCGAGCTCGAGCCTCATATAACTTAAACGAGCCCGAGCCGAGCCTGGCCAGGCTCGGTCTCGGCTCGGCTCGTTTGCACCCCTAGTGGTGGCTCTGGATCTACTAGTTTCCACTTGAATCCTCAAGCTTCTTCTTCTTCCACAAGCTTCAAACACACAAAACTCTCTCAAGAATCGCTCACAAACTCACACAAAGCATTAGGGTTTCGAGATTTAGGGTTTGGGACTTGGAGGCTATAAATGAGGCTGGCATAAGGGGGATTAAGATGCTTAAATAGGGTGCAAAACCCCGAAATTAGGGTTTCATTCAACCAGACCTACTCGTCGAGTTGAGGCTTCCAAATCGTCGAGTAGACTTCAAAACCCGCGTCCAAATCCATTCCCTACTCGACGAGTTTGGGCCTCTAACTCGTCAAGTTTCTACATAAAGATAAGTAAATTTATAATGTAAATACATACCAGGAACCCAGTATTACAATTCTCCCCCACTTGTCTTAGACTTCGTCCTCGAAGTCTGCGGGCTCAAATAACTTTGGATAATGCTCTCTCATCTCCTCCTCTGGTTCCCAAGTCCACTCTGACCCCTTGCGGTGCATCCACTGCACCTTCACTAACTGCACAACCTTGTTCCTCAAGGTTTTCGTCTTGCGATCCAGAATCGCCACTGGCCTCTCAATGTAGTTCAGGCTATCATCCACCTGGATATCCTCTAACGGGACAACCGCGAAGTCATCCACCATGCACTTCCGTGGCTGGGAGACATGAAAAGTGTTGTGGATCTGGTTGAGCTCTGCTGGAAGATCCAAACGATAGGCCACACGGCCCACCCGGTCTGTAACTTTGAAAGGAACGATGTACCTGGGGCCCAACTTGCCCCGCTTCCATAACCGGATGACACCTTTACAAGGTGACACCTTAAGGAGAACCATGTTGCCCACCTGAAACTCCAAGTCTCACCGTCGCTTGTCGGCATAGCTTTTCTGCCGACTCTAAGCAGTCTGAAGCCTGCTCCGGACCTGCTGAATCCTTTAAGTGGTCTTGAGTACCACTTTGGTACTCCCCATGACTCTCTGACCGACCTCGCCCCAACAGATTGGGGGTCCTTCATTTCCTCCCGTAGAGCATCTCGAATGGAGGTCGATCTATGATAGCGTGGTAGCTGTTGTTATACGAAAATTCCGCTAACGGAAGATACGTATCCCAACTGCCTCCAAAATCCAATACACACGCCCGCAACATGTCCTCAAGAGTCTGAATCGTCCTTCGCTCTGCCCGCCAGTCTGAGGGTGGAAAGTGGTACTAAAGTGATGACGAGTACCCATATCATCATGAAACCGCTTCCAAAATCTGGAAGTAAAACGAACATCTCGGTCTGACACAACCGAAACTGGCACTCCATGATGTCCCACTACCTTACGTACGTAGATCTCGGCTAACTTATCAGCCGATATACTCTCCTGGATCGAGATGAAATGAGCACTCTTGGTCAACCAATCCACGATGACCCATATCGAATCCACTCCACGTGTGGTCCTAGGAAGCTTCGTGATGAAATCCATAGTGATATCCTCCCATTTCCACATGGGAATCTCCAACGGTTGCATCTTGCCGTGAGGTCGCTGATGTTCGGCCTTGACTTTCCTGCAAGTCAAGCACCGCTCCACATACCATGCGATATACCGCTTCATGCAGGGCCACCAACGATCAGGACGAAGATCTCGATACATCTTCGTCGCCCCGGGATGGATGGAGAATCTCGACTTGTGAGCCTCATCCATCAGAACCTGTCGTACCCCGCCATAGTAAGGAACTCAGACCCTTCGATGCAGGGTCAATAACCCACGGCTGTCATAATCAAATGAGGCCACTTGGCCAACGATCCGCTCACACTTCTGGCGCTCTTCCTTCATACCCTCGACTTGCGCCTCCTGAATCTGTTCCAACAACGGAGTAATCACTGTCATCCTCAGACATATATCTTGAATCGGAGCCGCCACCGCCTTGTGGCTAAGAGCATCGTCTATCACGTTGGCCTTCCCCGGGTGATAAAGGATCTCACAGTCATAATCCTTTACCACATCTAACCATCGACACTGCCTCATGTTCAGATTCGGCTGAGCCATGAGGTACCTCAAACTCTTATGGTTTGTGTAAATGGTACAACGAACCCCATAGAGGTAGTGTCGCCAAATCTTGAGGGCGAAAACCACGGCCCCCGGCTCCAAATCATGCGTCGGGTAGTTCGCCTCATGACGCTTCATTTGCCTCGAAGCGTAGGCTATCACATGACCCCGCTGCATCAGTACCGCACCCATACCCGTGATCGAAGCATCACAGTAAACCATGAAATCATCGACGCCCTCCGGCAACGCCAAAATCGAAGCCTCGCACAACCGTCGTCTGAGAGTCTCGAAGGCTGCCTGCTGCTTAGGCCCCTAACGGAATGTCACCAACTTCTTGGTCAGTCGGGTCAAGGGAACAACAACCTTGGAGAAATCCTAGATGAATCTCCGATAATAACCCGCTAAACCAAGAAAACTCCGAATCTTGAATGGTGACCTCAAAATATCCGGCTGCATCACAGCCTCTATCTTGGTTGGATCGACCAGAATACCCTTCTGGTTGACAAGGTGCCCCAAAAACTGCACCTCGCACAACTAGAACTCACACTTGGAGAACTTTGTGAAAAGTCTCTCCCTCCTCAGTGTCTCCAGCACCTCCCTCAGGTGCTCCTCGTGCTGCTCCTGAGTCTTGGAGTAAACCACGATATCATCAATGAAGACTATCACAGACCTGTCCAACATCGGTCTGCACACGTGGTTCATGAGGTCCATGAACGCAGCAAGAGCATTGGTGAGCCCAAACGTCATCACCATGAACTCATAGTGACCATATCGAGTCCGAAAGGCTGTCTTCGGCACGTCGTCGTCCCTGACTCGC